CTCTCTCCCCTCTCTCTCTCTCTCTCTCTCTCTCTCTCTCTCTCTCTCTCTCTGTCTCTCCACACACACACATAACCACAAAGCCTATTGGTTTTGTTTCTCTGGAGAACTCTAATACAATGGGTGTGTTCAGTTTGTGAGAATTCAATAAGCCATATTCTTACAATATGCTCAGTAAGTATATTAACCTCAAAAAGGGTTTTCTTAAGTTAAAAAAAGAGGAATGAATATTTAAAAGTTTTTTTTTTTTTTTAAATGCAGCCAGAGAGTATAGGGGGGTAAGGCACTCACCATACACTCCTGGGGGTTCTAGAAATTAAACAAAGTCTTTGGAAAGACAATTTAGCAACACTTATCAAATACCTTTACCAATTTACAGTCTTTTATTCTGGAATCCCATTTCTGCAACTCAAACTTAAGGAAATAATCTGCAATATGGAAAAATGCTTCTGTGTCAAGATGTTCACCACAGCATTACGTATAATAGGGAAAAACTAGAAACCAGCTAAACATACAATACGTACAAATCACATGGGTCAATCCCAGCCCATGCCACCTCTCTGTGCCCCCACCTACAACCCTCCTTCACTCCGTGCACTGCAGACCGTGATACCACCCCTGACCACAGCTGACTGGACCAAGGGGTTACACTGGACTCAAGTTACACTAGTCAGTTTCTTCCTGAAATGTGGAATGGGGACAGAGGGATTTGAGACAGTCTCCCTTAGGTGCTGGAACTGGAAGATGTTATAAAAGCAGAGTAGGCAGAGCCCACCTGGACCATATTCAAATACAACAGAGACAAAGGGAGGAAGAGGACATCAGAGAAAATGAAGCTCAAGAGAGAGGAGAGGGAGACAGAGCAGCCACTGGGGTCTTTGGGTCCCTGCCCTTGGGTTCCATGAGGTCCTCTGCAATTTTCCTTTCTGCAAAGCTAACTTACATGCATCGTTTTACTAACATGCACATAATCCCTAACTAAATCTGAAATTGGTATCAGGAGTGGGGTGAGCAGCAAAACAGTCCCAGAGAAAATGGAAGCACTTAGGGATAGAGTCTTGGTGAGGGCAGTGGTGTGCTGGTACATGTTTAATGACTAGTTTCCCAGGAGTAAGAGGAGAAGCCCTGATTTGCAGCATTTCTAATTTTCAAGGAGTAAATCCTCCCCTGGTGGCCGATCGCAAGGTACTAAGGTGACATCACTAAACACAGAGATGTACACGATTAGCTCTCATGAACCAAAGGAGCTGGCTCCCGCACACCACTGGGTAGCAGGAGGGCAGTGAGCATGCCTCTTCCCTGGAGGGGATCCTGGTAGTCTCTGGGGTGTGGTGGCAAAGCAGGTGGGTATGCCACCATGCTCACCAGTCTCTTGTATTCAGACTGTGTGTCCATCAGGTCTGCTGTCCCAGGTCTGGGGCCCTCCAACCCCCAACCCAGAGCAGCACAAGGACCTTTTGAAATACACAAAGCACATGCCTGAGTTTGAAAACCAAGAGTGGGACCTTATAAGCCAATCTCACCTCCCAAGAAAAAGGGCAGACCCCACCCACCTACCTCATTGGGAAGGATCGTGGCTCCATCTCCATCACGAGGGACCCCATCCTTCCCCATCTGGGGGAGCATGGAAAGCCTGGCCTCCTCGCTGCCGCCTGACTTGGCTGCCTTCTTGTTCAGGATCCTGGCCATGCCCTCTGGCTGGTGGTAGCTGGCCGGGGAGATGGGCTCCAGCTTCTTGGCGCCCTCCTCCCCGGGTACGGACGTGGGGCTTGGCGCCCGGCCACACACGTTGCGGAAGAACTCCTGCACGATGCCGTATTTGGGAGGCTCGGGCTTGGCCCGGGCCTCGGACACGCCCAGTTTCCAGACGGACTCGGTGCTCCCCGAGTGTTCCACCACGCTGAATAGGCTGGACAGCCCATCGTTGATGTTCCTCAGCACGGGGCTGTCCCGCGTGGTGGTGGAGCGGGCCCAGGCCGAGCCGTTCTGCTTGCCCTGGTGCAGGTTCCACAGGCTGCGGTCCTTGGCCCCGTCCAGCTTGGACACGGACCGCCTCTGGAGCTTGGGCGAGCCATACTTGGGCGAGCAGCACGGCCGCTCGATGCGCGAGTGCACCTTGTCCAGGGAGGAAGAGATCTGCTTGCTGCGCACGGACACCAGCGAGGAGCTGCGGGGCGACCAGCTCTTGCCGTGCAGGCTGCTGCGGGGCGGGTCGGTCTGCAGGCCCACGCTGACCGTGCGGATGGTCTGCGTGCCCACGCTGGCCAGGCCCACCGTCTGGCTGGACGTGCTCTTCACCTTCCGCTCCAGCGAGCCCGAGCGCATGGCCTGGCGCACGCAGTTGGTGATCTCCTTCATGTCATCGCTCATGTTGCCCGACATCTCAAAGTCGTGCAGGGCCGCTGGGAAGCCGGGCCCGGCCGCCGAGGGGCCGCCCCCAGAGCCCCCATCCAGGCGCTGCCGGGAAAAGTTGCAGAGCCAGCGGCTGTAGGAGCTATCCGCCAGCCCGTCCTCCTCGGCGGACTCTTTGGGCTTGGCTGTGGTGAAGAGGAAGCCGGGCTCGATGATGATCTTGCCCTCCCTGTCATGGACCACGGGGACGCCCAGGCGCCGGGCCACCGGGGGGCTGTAGTAGACGCGGATGCCCGTCTTGTCCGGAGCCGTGTAGCTGCGCTGCATCTGCCTCCCTGCCGGCTCCTGGCAGCCCAGGGCACCCAGGCGGTTGCAGTCACGTGGAGAGAGCCCTGGCTGCTCCGGGGCAGCCTTCTCCGGGTCCACTGGCTGGGGGCCCACAAAAGCAAAGGCAGGGCTGTTGGGCAGCTTCTTGCCCCGGGCGGCTTCCCCTGCGAGGTAGGGGGAACAGTCCAGCAGACTTTCAAACTCTGACATGGAGGAAACAGATTTGGTCCTGGGAAGAGCAGAGGAGAAAGGGCAGAGTTAGTGGAAGATTCCTCATGCGGAGCAGGTACTCTGGCCTTCCTCCCTGGTCCGTGTACTTCGCGGGCAGGGGGCGGTGGGGCAGTGGGGAGACGGACCATGACGGTCCTGCTCACCTCTTGCGGAAGACGCTGTAGGTGCCCTGCCCCTCATCCCCTCCACACTCACACCTACACACGCAACACTGCATCTCTGAGCACCTGCCATTCTCCACCGGAGGGCTTTTTTCTGTCTGCAGGAGCACACTTGGCCTCCACCCACAGGAAGCTAGACATTCACACAGTTTATGGCCCTAGACACAGCCCTCAACAAACAATGAGTGGGGTTTGGTGGCTTGGTACCAGCCTCCCTGTCCCCCAGGTGGGAGAACTAATGTTCAGCTCTGGCTCCCAGAGATGCTGTGAAGCTGATCCAGTTGCCCACGTGTATCCTGGTTGATAACACCTCCTTTATGGTGCCTTCCCTACCCTGTCTCACTTCCAGGCTTTTCCTGGAATCCCCTCCCAAATATACCATTTGCACTTAAATCCTTGCCTCAAGGTTTACTTTTGAGGGAACCCAATCTAGGACGCCATTTAATCTCCAGCCCAGACCTGGCACGTGTGCTGCCTGATGACTGTAAGTGCCAGGCCTACGTGACAACATTGCACACGTCAGGCCATTCAGTCCTCCGACAACTCTAGGGGGCAGTTCCTATTATCCCAGTAGGTAGAAATGGGAAGTATAGCCCAAGGGCACAGAGCTAGAAATGACAGTGCTGGAATTCAAATCCCACACTACCACTCCAGAGCCACCCCCCTATCCCGGGGCCCACCTGGCTTCACGCTACTCGCACGGCCCCTGGGAGGTTCTGTTACTCTGAATCTTTTCATAATGGTTTCCTAATGGTGGAGACACGGTCCTGATAGCCCTAGGGGTTTTCCTGGCTATAGCACAGGGCTGGGCCCAGAGGATGCTGCTCACTAGTCCCAGGAATAGATGTCCAGCTGGACTCTCCCAACTCCAGAGACAGGAAGAACCCCAAGAGGAGCTAAACAGTTTCTTTCCCAGCTAGGATATTCTGGGGCCCCAGTTTTCCACACCCAGAATCAAAAAAAGCACAGGCTACAATTGCCATCACCCAAACTTTCCCAGCTCCTAAGTGGCCTGGGTTCCATAAAAACCATATCCCAGGGGACTTCCCTGGTGGTCCAGTGGTTAAGACTTCACCTTCCAATGCAGGGGGTGTGGGTTCAATCCCTGGTGGAGGAGCTAAGATCCCACATGCCTCGGGGCCAAAAAACCAAAACATAAAACGGAAGCACTATTGTAACACTATTGTAACAAAAAGCACTATTGTAACAAATTCAATAAAGACTAAAAAAATGGTCCACATCAAAAAAAAAAAAATCTTTAGAAACCATATCCCAGTGTTCTCCCAATTCAGCTGAGGTGCAGTGGTGGGTGTGCTGGGCAGAGGAAGAGAAGAGAGGCAAAGGGGCAGGGCAGCCTGCAGGGTGGGGCTGGGGGGCAGAGCATGGGGAGGGGCTGCAGAGTGGAGCATGGGGAGGGGCTGCTAGCACCTCTTTAAGCCGGTTCCCCCAAGCTCAGCTTCAGAAACAGCCTCCTTGTTGTGGATCTTCTCACTGTGTGTCTGCCATAGAAGAGAGACAGGAAAGGGTCAGTCTGGCCACTAGCACACAGAGGGAAGGTAACAGGGGGTCAGTGTGGGAGCTGGCCCCGAGCCCCACGCATGAGTCTCCTCTTGTAGAGCAGGAGTGATGTCAGCACTGATCTAGAATGCTCATTGGTCAGTTTCTGGCTACAGTGCACCTACCCCCTCTCCACACACACATAGGTATGTGATGCAGGCATGGCCAATCAGTGGTCCAAGAGGGAACCCAAGGAAAGAGACTCTATTTAGAATGTATTCTGAATGTAGCACCCAGTAGTCGCTGCTCAGCTGAAGGAGAAAGCAGTAACCTGAGGTCCTGCTTGGGGTTTGCCCCACCCTGGTTCAGAGACCTGCACCAGTTTTCTGACCCTGCATCACCAGCCCTTTTGAGCCCCTAATGAAATCCTCTCCTGCTTCAGTTCCCCAGAATTGGCTTTTATTGCTTCCTCAGGCTATCATGAGCAAGGGCCCATATGTTCACTCCTTGGTTACTCAGTGTGTGGCTATATGGACAGTGTACCTGAGGCTTAGAAGCAAACTTCACTGACTGATCTCCACAACCAGGGCTGGGCTAAGGCAGAGAATGTGATTCTCATTTTACCAATGAGGCAACTGGGGCCCAGAGAGGAAGAGTGACTTGCCCAGGATCACACAGCTCTTTGGAGGCTCTGCTTTTGAGAAAGCCACAACTGAAACACAGAGAAACACCTAGCCTTTGTCCCAGGCATGGAAGGATGGAGCTAACAGGGGGCTCTTTACAGGTCTCAAGGCTGGAACCATGAAGTAGAGACCTCAGGACTGAGAAGCCCAAGGGGGTGAGGGTGTGTGACTTGTGGGACAGGATTAGCATCCTCCTTGTCACATTCCCCAAAAGTGAGAGACTTTCCAGTGTAGCCAGGAGCACAGCACATGGGCCGCCTGCCACCCCACTCACCTCTTTCCAGCTGTTGTCCTGCTTCTCCAAATCCGAGTGCTTCAGGACCCAAGGGTCAGCAGCCTTCTGCAGCTAGGCAAGAGTAAAGAAGATAGTCATGTGCAGGCAAAGATGGTGAGCAGGGCCCTATTCTGTGCAGGGCCATTCCCCAGGCTCCACTCTGCAGCCCAGATGACCCAGATCATGGACTCAGAGCCACCTTCCCAGTGGGCAGCAGCTCTGAACCAACGGAGTGGGTTTGACAAATGATCATGAAACCAACCACTTACAGGCATCTTTATAAGTGTCATTATATCAAGCACGGTAATAGTTGTTATTACCATGTTAATTCACACTAGACGCCTGCAACAGCTACATCAGCAGCTGAATGACATCAAAGTGGTATCTCCACCTAGGTATGCTAAGCAGCAATTAAACTGAATGAGAGTGGCCTCTGCATTCTGTCATGAACAGCTCTCTATGAAAGAGGCAAAGTGTAAATAATATGCATATTAGGATTCAATTAATGATTTAAAAAAAATCTCTGAATGTAAATTTTTTTTTTTTTTTTTTTTTTTTTTTTGCGGTACACGGGCCTCTCACTGTTGTGGCCTCTCCCGTTGTGGAGCACAGGCTCCGGACGCGCGGGCTCAGTGGCCATGGCTCACGGGCCTAGCCGCTCCGCGGCATGTGGGATCTTCCCAGACCGGGGCACGAACCCGTGTCCCCTGCATTGGCAGGAGGACTCAACCACTGAGCCACCAGGGAAGCTCTTTTTTTTTTTAAAGGGCTTCAAATGCTTGGCTTTTATTTATTTAATTAATTAATTTATTTATTTTTGTCTGTGTTGGGTCTTCATTTCTGTGCGAGGGCTTTCTCTAGTTGTGGCAAGCGGGGGCCACTCTTCATCGCAGTGCGCGGGCCTCTCACTATCGCGGTCTCTCTTGTTGAGGAGCACAGGCTCCAGACGCGCAGGCTCAGTAGTTGTGGCTCACGGGCCTAGTTGCTCTGCGGCATGTGGGATCTTCCCAGACCAGGGCTCGAACCCGTGTCCCCTGCATTAGCAGGCAGATTCTCAACCACTGTGCCACCAGGGAAGCCCTGAATATCAATTTAAACAGCAAGAAAGGGAGGGAGTGGGTTGGAGTATGCTTTTGTAATATTTGAGTCTTATATAAAGATGAAGTCCTGACTTATACAATTGCAATAAAAAATAAACAAAGGAAAAAGTCACAGTGGAGCATAGCAGCTTGATAAGATAGGTGCATGTTAACTGTAGTGGGGTTGTAATGGTCAATGATTGTTTTTCCTATTTCCCCCTTGTGGTCTGAGGACTCTAATTTTCATGGGAAACCTCTTGGTTCCGAGGTTTTGGCAGGTTCTAGGTGTGGACACGTGACTCATACCTGGCACATCAGAGCCTTGTGGAAAAGGAAAACTCTCTTTCCATTGAAACTGCTAAGCTGTGAGGATATGAATACAACACTAACAGAGGCCATATTTGAGAACAGCTTGCTTCAGAATAAAACACAGAGGAAAGCAAGCCTGTGAGACTGGCAGAGAGGAAGACCTGGTCCCTACTGCAGTCTCTGAGCATACAGATCCATCTCTACCTGAAGGAGTCTTCCCCCGGTCTGTGCCTATAGCAACTGCCCCCTTGTGGCTTAAGCCATCTTGGGCTGGGACAGACCTCACCTGGCTCAGGCGATTCTGCAGCTCCTTTACCTGCTGCTCCACCTGCTGCTTCTCACCCTGAAGCCGCTCCACCAGCTGCAGCTTCTCCTGGCCCCAGTTGTGCTCACTGATCTGCAGCTGCCGTGTCAGCTCCATGACTGCACTGTAGGACTCAGCCAGGAGGTGCTGCTGTTCCTCCCGTTCCCTCTGCAGGGCTGCCTTCCAGTCGGGCCCTATCCGATCTCCAGCCCCCTTCCCAGCCTTCAGCTCCATCTGCGGAAAGAAGAGCAACCTGGGTGGCTGGCACCAGGAGGACCCTCCTCTCTGCCCTCCCTCGTCCCTCCCTGGGCACCAGCAGGGGGCAGGGGGAGGGTGCTCTCCTCAGAGGACCCCTCATCCAGGAACCTCCACTGACCTCCTCAGTTAGAACTAAACTTTCCTCACAGTCAAGGCTTGTGTGGCACAGTTTCTACTCACCAAGCTCTGTGCTAAGGGCTTTTCAGGCATTTGCTGTGCCCTCAAGAAAACTCAGCAAGGTAACCACCATTGTCGATACTTTACAGAGGAGGAAGAGGTTCACAGAGGTTATTTGTCCCTGGTCACATAGCTACAGAATGGCAGAGCTTCCTAGTTATTGCTTCTCATGATATTTCATCAACACTTACCCATGTTTACCAGGGTTTACGGTTAGTGGGGGACATGCACAGTCACATAAACAATGTGGGCAGGAATCACCTGAGCGTGATGGCTGTCTTGGCCCAAATCTTGAGGGGCAGGAGGGAAACGTGCAATCTATAGAATCGATGTACCCCACACCCCCAAGCTGTGGTCAGATTCCCATGGTGGGAGGGACACCTGGAACGCCTGGGGTTGGGGGGGCAGTGGGAGCAGGGGACACTGTGGAAGGTGCAGGTGGGGCGGGAGCTGTGAGATCAGCAGGGAGGGTTGGGAGAGAGAACGTGGCACCAGGAAGCCAGAAGTCTGAGAACTGGGAAGAAGGTGGGATGACGGCCATGAGGAGCCAGCAGGGCAGAGGTTTGGGGACTGAGGGTCAGGTCTGCCACTGACTAGCTGGGTGACCTTGGGATAGAAGCTTAACTCCTCTGTGCCTGTTTTGTCACTTGCCCAACAAAGATAATCAGGGTACCCACCTCTGAGGGGCCCGTGATACCTGGGAAGGCAGACTGCAGCAGGGGCAGCGGGGAGGAAGCTGGGCCCCGCAGAGTTCTGGAGTGGGGTAGGGGTTGGGGTGGTGAGAACATTCTTTCTGAGCGGGAGGAAGCCCATCCCCTCACTTCTCAGGCCAGAGTGGGGGGCAGTACCTTGCCTCCAGGCACACAGCAAAGACCAAATAGCCAGGACTCCTGGTTAAGGCTCCTTTGATCATCTGAGTTGTAGGGAGGGGAGTTCTCCAGTTTGGGTGGAGGGAGCAAAACAGAGTCAGGTAGCAGGGGCTTAAGGGGATCCTTATGAGGACAGCAGGCAGCAGAAGTCTGGGTGTGAGGATGAAGGATGTCACCAGGTGCAGACAGGCATTTAAGTGTTCCAGCCTCACCTGTGAGCTCATGGTGCGGCGGAGGCGCCTGTGATGTCCCCATGGCTCCTTTGCAAGTCCCTCACCTGCCTTCCCTAGCCCAGGGACCTTTAGTTCCCACTGTTTCTGGTACCCTTGCTGTGTGACTCTAGGCAAGTGTCTTGCCCTCTCTGGGCCACAAGGTAAGTGAAGGGGTTCCTATGCTTCTAGGAGCATGGCTTGGGCATCCTCCTCCCCAGTCTGACAGCTGAGGCCTTCTCAGAGAGGGGAACAAGGAGGGGGATGTCCCTGACAGGTGGGAGACTCACCAGGGCAGTATGGCTCTTGAGCTCTGCCCGCTCTGTCTCCCAGGTGGCCTTGGCCTTGGCAAACTGTTGCTGAAGCTCAGTCAGACCACGGCGCTCATCCCGAAGCAGCCAGCATAGCTCCTTCAGCGTCACCTTCATGTCGGCCAGTGTCTTGATGTACTCATTGGGCTGCAGATGGGGGCAAGGCCTGGGTCAGGAGCTTTCGGAGCGGCAAGGAGGAGAGGCTGGGCTGGGAACTCATCCAGAGTCCAGCCTGGGACTCTACCAGGCCTCAGGCAAGTCCCACGACCTCTTCGGGTCATCTCCCCATAAAACAGGCATAACAAGCCCAGCCCTGGCCACCTCTTAGACTGACACACGCCCCAGTCTCACAAAAACACAAAATTCTGTAGTTGCAGCAATTATTCAACCTAAATCTGAGCTGGGCCTGCCTTCTCTGAGGCTCTGCAGCATCTAGGCCTCTGTCTTCCTCCTTGCCCAAGATCTGCCTTCTCTGACCCACTGTAGGCCAGATGGGGAGTCTGAACCACAGAAGCTCCCTGACTGCCCGACTTGGGCCCAGTCTTCTCTCCTGGGCCCATGACCTGTTTCCCACCTGTAACCCAGCTTACTGTGGGTGCCCCTGGGAGCCTGACCCTACTGCTCTATACTACCCCGTGGCTTGATTTGATGGTTCCTGATCCTAGGCCATAAGGCCCTTCTTCATACAACTCACTCTAGCCTGATGTCCTTACCCCGACTATGCACATCCCAAGCTGCAGCCAGACTCAGAATACCTTGCCACATCTCTGTATATACAGTTCTCTTGGTACAGAATGGCCTTTTCCCTATTCTCTATTAGGCAAGCTCCTATTCATCCTTTGAAACCCACCACCTATGACCCCTTCTCTGTAATACCATCCTCTATACTCCAAACAGAATTAACTGCTCTCTCACCTGAGACCCCACAGTCCATCATCTGACCCTCTGTCACTGCCCTGGGGTGACTTACATACCCCATAGCACTGAGCATCTGGGGCAAGTGACCAAGCAATAACCCTCTGCTGCTCCGGTGCCTGGTGTAGGACTGGGGTCAGAAAGCAGTAAGATGTGATCACTAAACAGACAAAGGAACAAATGGACAGGACAGGACTGGAAATGGGCTGAGAACGCACCGTGTTTTGGGTCCAGCTGTCCCCTGTGCAGGTCTTGTTATCAGAATGCTGGGCATTTAATTCCTCTTCCTCCATTAGCAGGTACAGCTCCTTCATGCTATTTACCTGTTTTTTAAAAACCACACTCAATAGCGGGTAGGAGGGCATCGTGCCTGGGGGTCTGACCCTCAGGGGGAGGGGATACGGGCTAGTGGTCCAGATAGAAAGTGGGCTGCACAGCCAGGCAGGAATAAAGAAAGGGGGTTTATGGACCAAAATTACCCCAGCTGGGCACTGATTTCCCAGATTTTAACTTTGAGCCCTGGGCACCGTCCAGGTCAAGGAGCACAGCTGGAGAGTCAGACCCTTCTACCCCCCACACCATCTCTTCTGCCCCAAGGACCATGAGGCATCCCGGAGAGCTACTCCGAAATAGCTATGCTGTCAACGTAGGCACTGTGGCTGGAATAAAGGGCCACAAGGCACCCTCATAATTATAGATAAGGGCAACCAGAGGCTTGGGTGGGCAGAAGGGATCCTTCCTGGGAGCGGAGCTGTTTGCTGCTGATGGATTCTGGGCAGGAGTCCAGAGCCAGCCCAGGAGACCAGGGTCTAGTTTATGATGGGAGTGAAGCAGAAGAAGTGGGTGCTCATTCACTATTCATTTCATTCATTCATTCATTCAACAAATATTTATTGAACACCTACCACGCACCAGGCCCTGTGTTCAGAGCTGGGAATACATCAGTGAGCAAGACAGACAGAAGCCCTGGTCCCCTTGAGCTTCCATTCCAGTAGCAGGAAAACAAACAAATATGTGAAATATTGATACATGAAACATCATTAAATATATGGAATGTTCCATAATAATAAGTGCTATGGAGAAAAAGAGAGCTGGGAGAGGAGCTAGGATGTGCTGCACTGGGTGGTCAAAGAAGGGCTTAGAGAGAAGGTGATATTTGGGCAAAATCCTGAAGGAGGTAAAAAAATAAGCCACGTGAATATGTGCAGGTTGAGAATTCCAGGTTAAGGTCACAGCAAACGCAAAGGCCCTGAGATGGGAACCCATCTATTTGAGGAAGAGCAAGAGAGCCAGGGAGGAAGTGAGAGGTACGGGGACCAAGGCTGGTTGAACAGGCTTTGTAGGGACTTTGGCTTCTACTCTGGGTGACATGGGAGCCAGGGGAGGATTGTGCTGAGGAGTGACACTGGCCTGACTTTCAGTTTTACGAGATCACTCTAGCTGCTGTGTTGAGATACTTTATAGGGTAGCAACAGAGCTCCATACTGCACAACACCAGGGGGCACCATCCACGTGGAGTACACACGGCCTGGTACCTCCCTGCTTTGAATAGAAGATGCTCGGTGGAAGGGTGCAAGGGCAGAGGCAGGAAGACCAGTTAGGAGGCTACGGTGATAATCCAGGCAAGAAGTGGTGATGGCTCAGATGCGGGTGGTGAGGGGGTAGGCAGTGCAGCTGGGTCAGATTCTGTAGATTCTAGATAGATTCGCAATGTGCAAGAAAGGCCATGTAAGCCAAGTGCCTGGACAAGCTCCCCAAGGAGGCAGGTGAAGGTCAAGGAGAGACGCGGCCTGAGGGCTGAGCCCTCGGGACTGTTGACGTTAAGGGGTCAGTTCAGGGAGAAAAGGAAGCGTCCAGCCAAGGAGACTGAGGAGGAGCAACCAGTGAGGTGGAAGGAAAACCAAGAGTGTGGTGAAATCAAATGAAGAGGGTTTCTGGGGTTCAGGGCAGGCACTGAGGCTGGAAATATGTGGGGTGGAGCAGGGCCTGTGTGAAAAATACCCAGTTCCCTCCCTGGTCAGAATCTAAACATACTGACTTTTGATTATCTGTATTATCTGTATACACAGGTGCACAATTCTTTCTCTGAAATTCTTTGGGCCGGGTGTGCTTGGAATTCAGAAGTAATCGGGATTTAGAAAGATAATGTGGTACCTACACTGTATATTGTAAAACAGCCCCGTCTGGTGAGATACCCTATGCTCGTGGACACCAATATTTCCCCTTCAAACATGTGAGTACTAACAGGAAATGGGGTAAATAAAGGTTTTGCTGCCAAATGAATGTCAGGTCAATTTTTTCCAACTGAGTTAGACCCAACAAAACACAGTTCTCAGAGCTTCTGGATTTCAGAATTGAGGACAAGGAATCAAAGATCTTTATCTGCAGTAGAATGGGGATAATAATTGTTTCCACATCATAGGGTATGTGTAAAAGTGAAATGCAATTATCCAAATAGAGCATTTAACACAGTGCCCAGGACACTATACATACTCAATATATGAGGGTTATCATTCATATATATAGTTTTGTTTGTTTGTTTGTTTGCTTTTTGCGGTACGCAGGCCTCTCACTGCTGTGGCCCCTCCCGTTGCGGAGCACAGGCTCCGGATGCGCAGGCTCAGCGGCCATGGCTCACGGGCCCAGCCACTACGCGGCATGTGGAATCTTCCCGGACCGGGGCACGAACCCGCGTCCCCTGCATCGGCAGGCAGACTCTCAACTACTGCGCCACCAGGGAAGCCCTCATATATATAGTTTTGATTCTACATGTGTGGACACACATATTCTTTAAAAGTATGAATGTACATCAAGTTTGTTATTTATATGGTTATCTGTATTTTATTATGTACTTGTTTATATGTATTTTATACACATGGGCTTTATATCATTATATCTATGCATATATGTATTTTTTACAATGTGGGGGTGGTTACGTTTCTTATGATGTCTATCTCAGTATGTATATTTCTATTTATTATAGGCATGTATATTATTTTATTGTCTATGGTTACACTTTATTTTTTTCCTAAAGTAAGTTTCTGTTTCTCTCTGTTATCCCAGTACATTGAAATGGCTAGAAAGATTTTCACCAAATATGGAGAGTTTGCCTGAGACAACCTGATTTAAAATCAGGCTACGTGGCCTGAAGGCAATTCATTTTTTTTGGTGGAGGGCGAAACATCTTCCCTAGCAGCCAAAAGTGGGCTTCAGCTATGGAAAACAGTATAGAAGTTTCCCCCCAAATTAAAAATAGATCTCCCATACGATCTAGCAGTCCCACTTGCGGGTATATATCCAAAGAAAATGAAATCTGGATCTCTCTTATGTTCACTGTGGCATTATTCACAGTAGCCAAGATATGGAAACAACCTAAGTGTGTGTCTATGAATGAACGGGCAAAGAAAAAGTGATATATACACAACAAGGAAATATTATTCAGTCTTAAAAAAGAAGGAAATCCTGCCATTTGCGACAACATGGACATGGATGAACCTGGAAGACATTATGCTAAGCAAAATAAGCCAGAGACAGAAAGAGAAATACTACAAGATCTCACTTATATGTAGAATCTAATCAAGTCAAACTCATACAATCAGAGGGTAGAATAGTGGTTGCCAGGGCAGACGGAGGGGGGAATAAGGAGTGAATGGGTAAGAGTTTCAGTTTTACAAGATGAAGAGTTCTGGAGATGGACAGTGGTGATGGTTACACAACAATGTGAATGTACTTAATGCCAGTGAACTGTAAACTTAAAAATGGTTAAAATGGTAAAATTTATGTTATGTACAGTATATTTTACTATAATATAAAAAAATAAATTTTAAAAAAGTTATTAAAAAAAACAAACTGGGCTTCACCCAGAGGCTTGTGTGGGACTTCCAAACAGGAGGGATAGTCCTAAAGCAGACAGTGGTTTCAAATAGGAGTCCCCAGGTGTCACAAAGAGTGATGCTCGAGGGGCAGCCATGCTGGGCTTTCCAGGTGCTTCTCATAGGGGTGCCTCCATGTCAGACATTCCTGGGAGAGGGCAGAGGGAATGTGTTCATCTAAAGATGGTCAGCAGGGCTTCCCTGGTGGCGCAGTGGTTGAGAGTCCGCCTGCCGATGCAGGGGACACAGGTTCGTGCCCAGGTCTGGGAGGATCCCACATGCTGCGGAGCGGCTGGGCCCGTGAGCCATGGCCACTGAGCCTGCGCGTCCGGAGTCTGTGCTCCGCAATGGGAGAGGCCACAGCAGTGAGAGGCCCACGTACCGCAAAAAAA